AGACTACAATGTATTACGTATAATATAGTTAATACATTGTAGTCTGTCTATGATATTCTACAATCCGGTAACAACAATAATAACAATACATGATATTCTACAGTCCAGTAACAGTGATAATAAGGTATTTTATTCTACAATCCGATGATAATAATAAAGCATGGTATTCTACAGTTCTATAATACTAAGTATATTTTATTTGATTATTTCGTTGTATTTTTTTTTTGGTTATAAACACACACTTGATACTGTTCGTGAGATGTTTAGTGGATGTTTTTAATTTTTCAATCTGTAAACTTTTAATTATCACGCATGTTGCTAGATTTTAAATTATAACCTTTCATTTAACGGTGACCGTGAGTATAAACTCACGTGTTTACTGCTATGTGTGTGAATAAACTCACGTGTTTACTGCTATGTGTGTGAATAAACTCACGTGTTTACTGCTATGTGTGTGAAGAACATCTAATTAAAAACACCTTAGGGGTACAAAAAAGCGCGGCCAATTTTGATTTCATTCTTTTAGGTCGCATACTCAATCCTTTTTTGGCCGCACCATTTTTCACATCTAAGGTGATTTTGATTAGATATCATGACTTTGTGTTAATACACACCAACAAACCACAGCAAGTAAGAAAGTAACACTCGATAGTAACCAACATTAACTTTAGGATCGCAACCTATTAATTCGAAACAGACCTTTTCTTTACAGAGCCAACAATATTCTTTAAAATATATGGTGGTAGTTTTCCTCTCTAGAACAGTGTTGATAACTTCCATTATAGTAACGCCATGGAATTTAGGTTAACAGGTTCTTCTCATCACCCCTATGCAATCGGTACAGTCGTATCAAGCACCATTATTTATGTTAATTGCTTACCCTAATATAATGTGACGCTAAACGCTCTTTAATTAGGATAATTTCATAAAATTTAGTAAATTTGTGCTGAAAAGTTGGCAAAGAATAATAACCATCCACCGGTATGATTCTTTTGAAAACTTGAGCTAGAAACTGCTAATCTAGTTTGATTGACCTAACCAATACTTCTGTATCTGAACATCCTTTCGTCCTATAGTTTTGCTGCTCTAAATCAGCCGTCTTTAATTCGAATGAGGAGAAAACTAAAAAAGGGCCACTTTTACTCTTAGGCTAAGCTGTAGTAAAAATGTTATACCGATAACCCACGTGATTTTTTTTCGTAGGCGTGCGCAAAATTATTTTCAAATTTGAGCGGTTTTTGTTGAATAACTTTCCATATGTGACTTATATTTACACCAAATGAGACTATTAATTGTAGGTTGAAAATATCTATCAGTGTACCAAATTTGAAAGAAATCCATAAAAGCTAAGCTTATTTTTCTATCAAATAAAGTTTCCGTACTTAGGAAGAAACTAAATCAAAATTGGAGATGTTATATCTTAGGTATTTCTCAATAGATTGCCTTGAAATTTGGTATGTGAAATAAGCGTCTAGTGGAGAATATCAATGGAAAATATGTGATAGTTAAGATTAATATAGTCCGAACTACAGAAATTAAACTATCACTCTGGTTAACAAAACACAGTGTGTCCTGCAGCAGGTTGTTTTGACCGCAATGCACACCACCGTGTGCCTTGATTCTGAACTATAAAACGTCGAATGCCTTTTGTTTATATTTATCTTTACATGGGTGGACTGCATATTAGAAGATTGGGTTGTCTGTAGCTTTGTATCGAGACCTAATTTTACAAGTTGGGGCTAAAGATTGTAATATTAAACATAAAAATTGGGTGCATTTCCCCACTTAAAACCACTCAAAGTTCAATTGGGTGATACTCATTACAACCGACTTGGCTGAGTTAGTTAAAGCTGACATATTCCGGAATTGCGGTTCTCAGATGGTCAGTATATAGTTTTTGTTAGTTGAAAATGATTTTTGTTTTATCCACAGAGCCAATTTACGTAGGACAGTTTATTGTGGTGTCTAGAATAAAAGTATAATGTGAGTATCAGTTTCATCATTTGTAGACCAATATTATATTATCGTTCTAATGAAAAAAAAATATTATTTTGTTTTTATATTTTGTGTTTTTTTTTTTATCTATGGTAATTCCACTAAGTATATCTGCTACTGCCCCTACTTTTGAGCTACTGACCAGACGGAAGGCAGCACCCCATCACCCACCATCCACTCCATAGGATTTAATGTCGCCCTTATAAGGGATCCACAGCTTCAAATGGTATCGCACGGATTCGAACCCAGTACTCTACCACAAAGCCAACTAGCGATCCAGAAAATATACATATATAAGCGTAAAAGAACTGATCGCTATTTTTTTGATGAAATTAGAAACTGTTAGCATTTTTTATGAACATTCTTATAGGTAACTGCTAATTAGCGATCATGCGAAATCAGACTGCTAATTATCGATCATGCGAAACCAGTTATTGGCTTAATTGTAAGGAACCAAAGATCGGTAACCGAAGTCAAGCCGAAAGTGGTCAACATTTGTCGAGCACTAATTCATCGCTACAAGCAGAGTCTGTAATTAGTTGTGACCGGAAAGATCGATTTTTCAAGGTCTGGTTTAAGGCGTGGCTGAACATTGGTGGTAACGAAATATGTGGTGTCTTTAGCCAATAGGTGCTGTTGAACCCATCATTCACTCAACGACACCGGTGGTTGTTTTCCACCTGAGGTCGAATAGAAAAACAGATGGAATTAGAATACAGAACAGAATTAAATCTGTTCTGTGAAGTTTTAGGGAAAAAAGGACGGTGCTGCTGGAATAAAAAACAACGTAATACATTGTAGTCTGTCGGCTATGTTATACGTAATCCGGTTACAGTGATAATAAAGTATGGTATTCAACAATCATGTAATAATAACAAAGCATGATATTCTACAAACCAGTAACAACAATAATAACAAAGCATGATATTCTACAAACCAGTAACAACAATAATAACAAAGCATGATATTCTACAAACCAGTAACAACAATAATAACAAAGCATGATATTCTACAAACCAGTAACAACAATAATAACAAAGTATGATATTCTACAAACCAGTAACAGCAATAATAACAATACATGATATTCTACTTTGTTTGATTTAGTGTAAAGCTGCACAACTGGCTATCTACGTTATGTCCTTCACAGGGATTGGTCCCCGATTTCTACAGTGATAAGTTCCAAGATTATCCTTGAGCCACCGGGGAACGACCTAATAGGTAAGCCTGTTTTGTTGTATAATTGTATTTGTTATAAAGCCACTGTTATATATGCATACGTGTGTTTTTAAAGCCACTGTTTTATATGTATACGTGTGTTTTAAAGCCACTGTTTTATATGTATACGTGTATGTCTAAAGTCATTGTTTTATATGTATACGTGTGTGTTTAAAGCCACTGTTTTATATGTATACGTGTATGTCTAAAGTCATTGTTTTATATGTATACGTGTGTGTTTAAAGCCACTGTAGTATATGTATACGTGTGTGTTTAAAACCTCTGTTTTGTATGTATAGGTGTGTGTTTAAAGCCACTGTGTTATATGTATGTGTATACGTGTGTTTAAAGCCACTGTTTTACATGTATACGTGTGTGTTTAAAGCCACTGTTTTATATGTATGTGTGTGTTTAAAGCCACTGTTTTATATGTATACGTGTGGGTTTAAAGCCACTGTGTTATATGTATACGTGTGTGTTTAAAGCCACTGTGTTATATGTATACGTGTGTGTTTAAAGCCACTGTGTTATATGTATACGTGTGTGTTTAAACCCATTGTTTTATATGTATACGTGTGTGTTTAAAGCCACTGTGTTATATGTATGTGTGTGTTTAAAGCCACTGTGTTATATGTATGTGTGTGTTTAAAGCCACTGTTTTATATGTATACGTGTGTGTTTAAAGCCACTGTTTTATATGTATGTGTGTGTTTAAAGCCACTGTTTTATATGTATACGTGTGTGTTTAAAGCCACTGTGTTATATGTATACGTGTGTGTTTAAAGCCACTGTGTTATATGTATGTGTGTGTCTTAGTGTATGCCCTCAAAATTCCAATTAAATATCTAAGAAAAACAAAGACGTTTACAATTTCCCCCAATAATTATTGGACACAAGTATCGCGTCTGATTCGCGTGATAGAGGAAATTACTGTGGTTACCTTACGACAGCAGCACGTAGAAAGAACGACTTCTTAAATAACCGGAGGCTTCTTTCTATCGTGAAATAAAATTACCTGTAATGAAGAGATATAAACAGAACGAGAGAAAATGTATCCCTTATCTCTTCCTACCTCTACGGTGATACAGCCCCATCTGTACAGTAGCTTTCAATCGGCTGCACAAAAATATAGAACAAATTTTGTAATTACATTAATAAATTCTCTTGTTAATGGCCACCATGCAGATAAGAGGTTCCGAAAAAAAGAGAGAGAGCGGAAATGAGGTACCCTTTTTGAAACATTCGACGAGTTCAGCTCTAACTATCTGTAAATGCGTATATATTGTGCTGCAAATGATTAATTCAAACTGAAACTGATAATTTAATTTTATAACATCTGTTAATATGATAGATTGAACAAACAGCACAAAATAGCTGTCGTCGTGCTACTAATGTTAATTAAAGGTTTTAGTTATTCCCCCTTTTTTTTTATTTTACTATGACCGTAAGCTCATTTTCAATGAAGTTGAAAATAAGCACCATTAGTATTAGGTTAACATGATGACTTCAAATCACAACTTCATAACACATATTGTATAATCCTACAATACTAATAAGACATGATGTTCTACAATCCGGTAACAGTGATAATAAAGTATGGTATTCAACAATCATGTAATAATAATAAAGCATGATATTCTACAATCCGGTTACAGTGATAATAACAATACATGATATTCTACAAACCAGTAACAACAATAATAACAAAGCATGATATTCTACAAACCAGTAACAGCAATAATAACAAAGCATAACATTCTACAATCCGGTTACAGTGATAATAAAGTATGGTATTCAACAATCATGTAATAATAACAAAGCATGATATTCTACAAACCAGTAACAACAATAATAACAAAGCATGATATTCTACAAACCAGTAACAACAATAATAACAAAGCATGATATTCTACAATCCGGTTACAGTGATAATAACAATAAAGTTAAACATATTTATCATGAAACTTCTTAAGTTAATGATATTTAATGGATACATTTAAGTACATTAGTGATAATAATGATATTACAGAATCAATAGGGAAGAAGTTTCATGAATTACCACAAGATGACGTTTGTATTGGAATATTTTGTCTGGAAGTTGTTCTAAGTATTATATTACAGTGTGGCTTGTCATGTTTCAATGTGGTCAAATCTTGGTTGTTGTTGTTTTTTCTGTTTTAATAATCAGGCTCTTGTTTCAAAGCGTACATTTGGTATAAAGTAATTCGATCTATAAAAACTGTAAATACATAAGTTCTGTTTCCATTCACAGAATTTACAGGATCAATCGAGTCAATAACATTGTTTGTAGTTAGAAAAACATTAAATAATCAGAAACTGGTACTCTCCAACAAGTACGTTTCATTATGTATACTGATAGTAAGTTTCTGAATAATGTCACCCTTGGTTACCTGCTATTCACGCATCAACTCTGCGGGTTACTTATTAAAGACTTACTGAAAGTTTTGACTGTTTATATTTAAGCACAAAGGTACACAATGGGTTAATCTGTGCTGTGCCCCCCCACGAGTATCAAAACCCGGTTTTTAGCGTTATAAGTCAGCAGAT